TTTAGGGCGGGGCTACACGGTGATTGACAGGTCTCTACGTCACTCCTCCTCAGTCCAAATGTGGTCACTTCCTGTTCACTGGTTGCAAAAAAACCAAAATGTCCACTTCTTGTAAACAGTCCGTGGTTTTAATCCGCTTCTTCTTCTTCTTCTTTCCTCCCAGATGACCGATAACAGCATCAATCTCCCGGATCACGTGACCTGCTCCATCCAGTGGGCGGACGCCGTGGTGCTGGTGTACTCCACGACGGACCGCCGCAGCTTCGACCTGATCGAGCAGCTGCACCAGCAGGTCGTCCACACCGGCGGCGCCACCATGCCCCCCGTGATCCTGCTGGCCAACAAGGCGGACCTGCTGCACCTGAGGCGCGTGGACTCCCAGCAGGGCTCGCTGCTGGCGTCCACGCTGGGCTGCTCCTTCTACGAGGTGTCCGCCAGTGAGGACTACAGCCAGGTGCACAAGGCCTTCCACCGGCTGTGCTGCCAGCTGGCCAAGCAGCAGCCGGCGGCGCCACCAACGCCGGCTGCCGCCAACGCCACGGAGAAGAGGCGCTCGCTCCTCATCCCCAGGCCCAAGTCGCCCAACATGCAGGACCTGAAGCGGCGCTTCAAGCAAGCGCTGTCGGCGAAGGTGCGGACCGTCACCTCGGTGTGAGGAGATGCTGAGACGGTGTTTTAAAACGTGGGCCAGAGCGGCCAGAGAAAGAAAGCCTTTAGAGGCGGATCACAAGTCCTCGGATCAGTCGGGAGGCTGAATCTTTACGGGAGGCGACGTCCTCTGAAGTGACGGCCGTCTGTCCCGTCAGGTACTGAGTGTGAGGATGTCCATCACGTGTCACGAGAGGCGACACCTGAGGAGAAGCAGCTGCGAGACTGAAGTTAAAACAAACTCAAATCCAGCTCTCCTGGCAGCAGCAGCGCTGAAGGACGGCTTATTTTTAGCCGACTGTGGCTGTTTTTAATTCAGACTGCCTCTGCATGGCTCCACTAGATGTTGGTGTTATTATAACAGACACTTGAGCCGGGCTGTGTGTGTGTGTTTGCAGCATTGTGATTGACAGGCTGATGCAGCAGTATGTAGCGTGTTATCACTGATGACCTTTATGAACAAAAGAGCGACCCAAAGGGCCTTTTTGTTATTTGTTACAAATTCACCTTGTGTTCACAATAAAAAAGAAAATGATGAATTTAACTTTGTTTTAAATTTTTTGTGCATTTGACAGCAGAACAATCTCTAGTTTCAAGTCTTCTTCAATACAGCATGATGTTCATTTAGTACATTATGGTCCATTTAGAGTCAAACAGACCATAAAGCAGGGGATGCTTTAGGGCGGGGCTACACAGTGATTGACAGGTCTCTACCAGAGACGTATACGGGGTCTCTACGTCACTCCTCCTCAGTCCAAATATGGTCACTTCCTGTTCACTGGTTGCAAAAAAAACAAGATGGCGACGGCAAAATCGCCGAACTCGAGGCTTCAAAACATCAGTCCACAAACCAAAGAGCGACGTCACCATGACATGTACACTGCTTATACACGGTGTGTGTGGTTGGTGAACATGAACAAAGAGTTCAGAACAAACCTGCAGAAAGATTAGTTTGTCGCCATAGTGACGGGTGATGTAATATTTACAAAGAAAGCCGCTGTGTTTTAAAAATCGACATAGTAAATATTTATCAGCCGAATCAAATAGTTTACAAGATATTCAACCTTTGGTTCTTTGTAACTCATTTAATACTTGACTTCTTTCTTTACAGGGTTTCTATGAAGGTAATAAAGTAGTTTATGAACATGAGATGAGTTTACAGATAATCTCATCCCTCGTCATTGTGCTCAGTTTATGGTGTTTTTTACTTATCTTTTAGATTCTTTACTTTTTGTTTGCGACGGAGAAATGCGACAAACAAACTCCTTTGTGTATCTCGTTGACTGAAGACAGAGTGAGGTCGGTCCAGTCCAACATGGACGTCATACAAGGTGGTGAATGTCCGATGAGGGATTTATGGATTAAGAGATGCAGGTGTGGTGTGACCAACGTTATTACACAGAACACTGAGTGTCACAGGGACCTCCGGTTACTGAGAGCAGACCGATGAACTGAGTCCAGAGGTTTGAGGGAGGAAGCAGAACGTCTGCAGATTATTTCAGCATAATCCAGGACTGATAGAAAGTACACTTCAACGGGAAGACGGATCTGTTTCTGGATCAGGTCGATGTGGAGACGGGAGACATCAGCATCCTGTCCCTGTCCCTGATGCTGGCATCGAGGGCTCCAGTTAGGTCCACAAAGAGAACCGAGGACAGACTCGCCTCGTCTCTGGCTGGTTGTCGTTTATGGTTTAAAATCGTCTCTCGACCTCCCTCTTCATATTTGTGAATAACAGTTTTGCAGTTTTAATAATGAAAAATGCTTTTAAGAGACATTTTAGGGACAATCGCAAGGGACAAATAGATGTCTCGTGGTTTGAGAGACCATCCTAAAATGCAGTTCTCTGAGGCTTTCAGAGGGTTTGAAGTGTTTTGCTTTTTAAATTCCAGACGGTTCATTTGAATCCCCCTCTTTGTCCGACGTCCTTCAGGCGGCTTCGTAGCACAATGAGGAGCGTCGTCAGCGCTGCTGTGATGACGGACGACTCGCACAGAAGAAGTCGTCTGATGAAAAGCATGAAGCCGTTCCTTTACCAACGCTTCAGTGAGACGACAGAAGACGACTGAACAGACCGAAAAAAACCAGCTGGAGAGTTCATGTTAGCTTTTTATTACGAGACTCTTCTGAGAACCGGAGCTCCCAGAAGACGAGGAGACAAATCATAATAATAATAATTATGTGTGTTTTTGTCAGAGATCTGTTTATTTACATTCCAGAACCTCATTATTACCGGCCCTCTGATTGACGACACGCGAGGGAGACTCTGGTGATCGTAGTCGGGTCGAATCTCTCCGTGTTGGAGAGAATAAAGAGAGAGAGGAGCTCCACCTGTCAGCAAATGATCGGCCTTAAGTAGACGCTGTGAAAGGACTTCATTATTCTGCTGAGGTGTGAACGGACACTAACGGAGAGTGTGTATTCGCACGCACGCACACGCACGCACGCGCACGCACGCACGCGCACGCACGCACGCGCACGCACGCACGCACACGCGTTTCTTGTTCCCGGTCCCCACGGACCTGTAGGAACTAAACATGACATGAACAGGATGGGAATGTTCGACGGTGGTTCTCATTAACCCGGCGAGGTGTCGAGACGTTTGCAACACACGTGTCCTCCTTCCACGTGCATCTCCGCGTGACGCCCGTTTTTGTTTGTTTTAGTCGACACCAGGACGCAGTCTCCGGGTGGTGAAGAGCAGCTCGGGGACGTCCGTCGGCCGCAGTAACCTGGTGGACAGAACCAGCACCTGGAGCGGAGCACAACAACAACAGTCATTAGGGGTGAAGTGGGTCACCGGGCGGTGAGTCCCCGTTCATGAATGAAGCAGAGATGAATGTCTGGCTGAGTCATGAGCAGATTCATTGAGGTGCATGAATCAGGTGCCTTGGCAACTGGTGTATTTATTTTTTTGATTTGATTACTTCCAGCAGGATGACGTGCGGAGGACTCCTGTTTAGTGTCACGTGCTCGTTTCTACTCCAGCAAACCGATGAACTGGTTTGGAGCGAATAAACCGTAACAACAAAGTTGTAACGACTGTTCTTTTGTAGACGGCACGTTGGTTCAGATCCAAAAGTCACGCAAACAAACGCTGGACGAGCAGCTCCGGTGTTCAGAGAGGTTTCTGTCAAAGGAGTCCGGAGGCTTTGAACTCAAGGATTCACGGATCGTTTCGAGTCATTGTAACGTCGTCTCACAGAGAAGCTTCTCCTGCAGCAGTTTGTCAGCCGCCATCACGTGCACACACGCGCACACACACACACACACACACACACACACACACACACTTGTGTACAGTACGTTGTGCATGTAAGTGCTCAGGTTGGTGTGTGTGTGTGTGTGTGTGTGTGGGCCAGTCGGTTATTGTATAAGCTCGTCTTTATTCAGTTTCTCCTGATTACAGACGGGCGGCTTTGATCCTCGCCAGGCCTTTCATTGCCGTGGCCTCCTTCTCAGAAGCCTTTTATTAAGACCGACCCACATCACCCGTCTGATCTTCTCCTCCTCCTCCTCCTCCTCTTCCTCTCACACAGAGAAAAACACATTTATCTGCATGTTTTGTAGGTCAGTGTGGACCGCATACGTAATTGGCACTTAAGAACGGTACGATGTGCACACGGGCGGACAGACACAGCGCCTCACGGCACTCTCACCTCCACACCTGATCACAGGCAGCTGCGTATGTAGGTCACACTGATCTCCACTCAGGAGCGACACAGTCACAGAGTGACACAAGGGCTTCGGCCTCTGAGGTTCTCCCCTCATCTTCATCGTATTGATTACGAGAGAGATTCAGTCGACTCCTTCTTATTCATTTTTAAAGTCTATGCTTTTGCGTTGTTAAAGGAACACGAATGCTTTAATTAAACGAGTCATCAGCACATGCAGACTGCTTTTTCATTTCATTGTGTTTCATGTTTATTGTGTAGAGACACATTACATGCACACAGAGAGCTGCACAACACTTCTCCAGAGCAGCGTACCACCGCATCTTCAGCTTACTGCTAACTCCCAATGCTTTAAAATAAGAAATATAACACTGAGTGGTGCAGACACTCGTATCGACAGTATTTACACATTCAGACACATAATAACACACATGATTGATTGGCTTTAAATAAATTCCTTTAATTTGATTTTAAAAGTATTATTTTGGGCTATAGAAAATGAATTGAATTGAAAATCAGACAAGACGTTTGCAAACGCATTGTAGTTGTCAAAGCTTGTGAATGAATATTGGTTTATGAGGTGGATATTAATGCAATATGCAATGTTTTTAAATTGAAACATCCAAATATAAGATAAAGTATCGTGCCAAAGGTTCTAGACGCTCACTGTACTTTGTTATTAGACTGTCCGGTTGCACCTCATGGTTGGGTGAGTCAAAGCTGCCTTACTCCATGATAGCACGATGAGCGACGCGCTATAAGCATCTTTTTAATGGAAGCCAACGACATGAAGCTACGAACCAACGCCGCTAAACGATATTTTACTGCGTTTCCTTTCAGAGAAATGCTCCGTGTAAGTATATGTTCAGGGCTTTTATTGTGAAAGGTAGTTCAGAGACGCACCCGTTAGTCATCGACTCACCTGAGTTCCCGGTTTGCGCGTTGTGACGATGTCTCTGATGAGACGGAGCTCTGAAGGCGTGACTCCACCCACCAGGAAGAGGAGGAGCAGAGGGTTGTCGCTGGGATGAGGACGACTCACCTGCAGACGGGACGTTGTGATTGGTCAGATTATTAACGGGAGACACAAAAAACATGAACTCATAGATATCACTATGAATAAAATTACAAGTTTACTGAAATGTGATGTTTAAATATGCAAATTAGGCATTATGTAATTTAGGAGAAATCTACAAACGTAAACAGACAAAGTAGTAAAATAAACGTTTTATTTCCTCTCGTCTGAAAGAAGACGAGTTGTGTAAAATCTCTACATTTCTCAGTGCATGAAGAGCTGGAGTGTTGATTCTGTTTCCTATCGATCATTTTGTGATAAAGACCCGCTTTCTTCAGGGAACACTTGCTCATCTCTCTGTGTGTGTGATATTGTGGCGATGCCTCTAGGACACGATGTCTCTATGTCCACCTCGGTGTAAGCATGGCTGACACGTGTACTCACACAGGTCGTACAGACACACAGACGTTTAGCTCGTACAGACCACAGCGTTACCACCATGAACTCCAACAGCACAGTCTGCTGTTTCGTGGGGGGGGGGGGAATAATGGCCGTGTGCTATTGGTTTGCCGAGCCTCCCATCGAGACACATTTGCGGTGAGTGTGTGAAGGCTGGCCGAGCAATCACAGCTGCAGGAGGGGGGGGAGGGGGGCGCGACCCGAGGAGAGAGTGGCTGAACACGTGAAGCCTCAGCAGGCTGAGGAGAAGCATGACTCAACATGTGTTCAGGCACAAAAGGAAAATGTGTGAGAAGAAACGTTGTGTCGTCTGCTGGCGGTGGATGCTGTGTTTCACACACTCAGTGTGAACCATGTGTGGTGACATGAGGGGGGGGCATGTGAAACGTTGGGCTGGTACAAAATTGAGCTCAACATTTGGAGGGTTTCTTGAAAATATTGTGAAAACAATAACTAAACACGCTGTCGTTCAGTGAACACGAGTACTGGCTGAAGGTACATTATAACGTTCTCATGATGTGTTCACATGTCATCTGTAAAATGTAGTTTTTGTGATAAACTTGAATATTATGAGCCGTTTACCTTCCTAACACGAGCTCTAAGCTCATTATTATACATCATTAAAGATAATAATGATGTATTTGTTTTAATACATAAAATTACAATCTTTTATTTCTTTATCATTTCAATTGTGTGTTTTTATGAAGAAATAAATGTAGTATTTTTATGGTTTACTGACTTTAGAGCGTTGAAATGATTTTTGGGACGGTGACAAAAAAATAAATATCCTGGATCCGTGTAGAGCAGCTGCTGTAATCACACATCAAAGGGATCCGTGTCTGTTGATATGGATCATCAACGATCGATCATTAGCATCAGCAGCAGAGATCTCTCCTGATGTGATCAGTGATACGATCCAACATGTGCTCTGATGCGTTGCATCGGTAATGCTCGTGATGTAATGAGTGATGGTGCTGTAAACTGATCTCTGTCAGTGTGATGGAGGTGAAGGAAACATTATCCGACTTATAAAATACATCCACAGGCTTTCTCGTAAACGCAGCTCACAAAATCTTCTCGATATAAATAATTCAGAAAAATCAAGCTGCTGGCTGTGATTTGCTTTTGTCTCAGAAAAGACACTTTTTTCAAAGCTAGTATGTGTTTCCCGTGTCCTGCGATATACAATGACTGTGTTTATGAATGGAGTCTGGTGGTTTTGAAGAGAGCGATATAACGGCCAGAAAGGGCAGCAAGGTGAAGCGGCTGTGGACGGGAGCAGCAGAGAAACACATCAATCAATACGAGTTCATAGCGTCTTCAAAGCCAGCACAACACGGGAGTTGCTGGTCTTTCACAGACTTGTTCAGGGTCCATATTTGCACACGTTCCCTAACTTTGGTTGCAATCGGACGTTGCTTTGTAGTATGTTTTCAATAGGCCACGCCTCCAGGACTTCGTTAACACAACGTATGATATCTCACTCCTTATTTTTTCGTGTCAAATTCTGCTCGTTACATGCATTCAGTCTTTTTAAAATTATTTTCCATCTTCACAAGAAACTTTAGCTTTAGGCGTTAAATGTACGCAGAGCTTTATTCATAAAAGCCAATCATCACACAGTGAGATTCAGCCTTAGCCCATCCTATTAGGAGCAGCCCGCTGGTCCTATACAGCGTTCGGTACGCAGTTTGTGGGGGTCCAGTGCCTTGCTCAAGGGCACCCCGGCAGAGCCAAGTCCACACTGACTGAGCGACTGCCGCCGTCATGGAATAACGTGCTCCATTAATGGGACACATCCGGTGACTTTTGGGTGTAAAACCTACATGATTGATGATATCTTTATTTTCATGATGTGCTATTTCACCGCTCGGGTCGTCAACTAAATATTCTGCTTTCCTCCAGACAACTCAAGTTTTTCATTGTCATCCAGCCAAAATTAAATCAATATAAATGAGACACAAACTCACACATACGGAGAGTTTAAACAGGTTAAAGTGCACAAGCTCTGTCTCTGGGTCCAGAATCCAGACTGAAGGGGTCCAGTGGGTTTAATGCTGCTAACTGTACACAGGCTGCTCTAGAAATAGACGTTTTATTGGGTTGTTTTATAGCATGAAGGGCGTGCTCCTGTAGAACGCTCCAAGTTTCAAAGGTTTATAGATTTAGTTTGTCTGAGTTGGAGGTTCGTGGGCCAAGTTACGACCAGCAGCCCTCCGGTAGTCATCACTTTAAGCAGGCCCAGATGTGGGACCATCAGAGCGTGGATGGTGATCCGCTCTGAGCCCACGACTACATGTCTGATGGAGAAAGTAGCGGGGCTACTGTGATTGACAGTCTCCACCACGGCGTTGTTCAGTGTTGGTTTGGACTAAAAAGTCACTCTAAGGAGTCGGCTGCTGTTGTTTTTTTCAGCAAGTACATCACAAACAAGCCTGTTTGTTTATTTGCAATATTTAGCATCCAAACTAATATCACAGTTAACGTGAATTACGGATGCTCCTTGCTAGCATATGTTGCTAACGGTACCTAGCCCTATTATCCCAAGCTCGTAAATATATGGTCAAAAAACCAAGACGGCGACGGGCAAAATTCCGAACTCGAGGCTTCAAAACGACCACAAACCAATGAGTGATGTCACAGTGATTAAGTCCACTTCCTGTTCAGAGCCCATGCATACAACCGTAACAAAAGTGTATTGAATATAGGCCACGCACATTTGGTCCTGGTAAGGACATTCTGCCATTTTGAACGAAAATCGTATTTTCTCTCAGTTTCATCCAATCTTCACAAAACAGCACCCCAAAAGCATAGCATGCATTCGTCTTCCGATATAATTGGTTAACAAAGTCCTGGAGGCGTGGCCTATTGAAATAAAACAAACTGAAAAGCAACATCCGATTGCAGCCAAATTTGAGGAACACGTGCAAATATGGAACCTGAAGAAGTGTGTAACATTTAACTGGTGGCGCTGCAGTAAATAGAGTCCCCCGGCTGTCTCAGGAACCAGGAGGCCAAGAAGGGACATTGTCTCTGGATTCGTCGGGTCAAGACTAGTAACACAGAACAGTAGAGGCAACTGTGCTCTGAAGATGTGAACTGAGAAGAGGCAGCTGGTGACTCCATGTGGAGACATGTGGCTGTTTTTGTCCTATAAAGTGTGATCCTTGTGTTTTCTTTCACCTCCTGACTCCAGTGTTTGCATTTCCTTGACACGGGTAGAACGTTGGTCCAGGAGGATTAAAAGTGATGGCTGCTAGTGCTGCTTTTGATGGTTTTAAATTGGACCACTATTATAAACACAGCGTGTGCGCCCGACGCGAGACGCTCACTCAGCAAATTGTCAAATCAGGTCAAGTTCAATCACCGGTTGAAGGCGCTTTGCCGCCCACAGCGGGCGGTGTGCACATGAAGGGTGAACAGGATGTGGACAGAGATGACCCCGCTACATACAAAACGTGTGCTCGCGACGTCTGACCTTCATGAACATGCTGAAGCCGGTCTTTAACAGGTCGGTGAGGCCTCCGGACGTGTGCTCGATGTCGGGACACTCGGGTCTGTCGGGGTGGAAGACTTCCTCCAGGATCTGCCGCAGGAAAGGACGATAGGTGGCCTGCAAAGAAAACAACCAATTATAGAAGTGTGATACTGGACAGTAAACAGTCTGGATGTAAATATCTGAATGTGACTGGCCTCTTCTGTTAGAATGGTTGTGGGTTTGTGAGCTACAAACAGCTCCGGTCGATCGTTACAGGTCGCTGACTCATGAGTCCCTTCAGAAGAAGAGCCTGAACGCTGCAATCAGGACGGGACAGAATCCTGCACTGTTGGAGGCACTTTGGTCTGTTATGAGTGAGCGTTAAGAGGCTTAAAATCAAATCAAGAATCAACACCTGCTGGTCAGTTAAAAACAGCTCAATGGAACCAACAGAACTACCAATTGGACTTTATGAGAGCCAGAGATGTAAATATAGTTCTAGATCATTGGCAGTAAGGTTTTTCTTGCTTTGTGTTAAGTAGCAGAGGTTAGAAAGAGAAACACTGAATCTGAATATTCACTGTGAGCTTGTTAGCATTGAGCTCAGAGCACGCTGTGCTGTAGCTGCTAGCGCGGCTGCAGACTCGTGTTTTGCTCACGATAAAGAACAAAAAAACACGTCTGACATTCTTTAGCTTGTTTCTCACGAAGCTCAGAGCGCTGATGCAAAAACAGTCCCAGTGAGCACAAACATATTGACACCGTCACATGACACTAACCCGCCTCTCCGAAAAACAGTCAACAGCACCTGGCTCACTCCTCCATAGTTATGAGCTGCCCGGCTCTCACCAGCTAAATATTTCAGCACTTCGTTTTTGACGGCGAAAAAAAAGCAGCAAAATGTCAAATAACGTCTCAACTAACACAACATAAGATAGAACTTTAATAACCCTGAAGGACATTCTTGTGCCGGAGAAGAATAACAAACATATATATAAAGTTATTAAGTGTTTAAAAAAATAATACACCAGTGACACCGGTGCAAAACAGAGGTAAACGGAGTAAAAACTAAGTATATTTGTACAAAAAAGGATTAAAAACAAGAGTAAAAATGTGTAAAAGAAGGAAAAATAACACCAGTGATAGAAACTAGAATAGAAATGTAATATTGTGCATGATATTGAAGTGTAATACTGCATGAAGTTGAAATAAGTAACATTGCTCATGATGTTCTCAGCTGTTTTCCTGCAGAAAGGGGGAGGAGCTACACAGTTTGATTGCCACTTGTTCTGTGGTCCACCTCGGTGGTCTCAGTCTGGAGATGTGATGTCGTTCAGGAGAAGAGAGGCTTCTAATATTCCTAACAGGTGATCCATGATGCACCGGCTCCCCGGGAACAGAATGAACCATTTATAGGCCTCTCAGCTGGCCGGCCAAGAATTCCAGGCATTTCTTCTCCCTCCATGGGAGTTAAGTCTGCTGTCTCGCAGAACAATTAAGACTGTGATAAAAAAAAAAAACTTGCCAGAGCTTTATTTAACTGCTCCGAATAGCAGAAGTCTTAAAATAGAACAGAATACCTTCCAGTACAGGAGTTCGGTGACACGTCTGGGCTGCACGCCAGAATGTGAGCGAGTTATGAAACAAAACTTTCTCCTGCGAATGGAACATCTGGATGCTCAGCGAAGACTCCGGCTACCCAACTGTTGATTCAAGCACTACACACACACACACCTACACACTATGTGGTCCAAATGCTGAAGCATCCAGGTGTTCCTGCCCACATGGCCTCCTCACACCTCCATCTGCAGAACCAGCATCTATCATCCTCTACTCCTCCAGTCCCCCGAGGAGCAGCCGTATTAGGTCTGGGAAAATCCTGCAGTCCACCTTGTTTATAATCGTGAGTTATTTAAACTGACATTTGCTTCTACCGACATCACGTTAATGCACGGGTCAGCCTGAGCTGGGAGTAAACAAATGAATGATTCACCTCGGGTTAAATAACACACACACACGCACGCACGCACGCACGCACGCACACACACACACACACACACACTCTTGGCGGAGAGGTGGATGAACATGTCGATGTCCCAAAACAACACGGCGAGCAGAGAACAGAACAGACTGGAATGTCTTTGAAGATATGTGGTCAGAATTATGATGAAGTTGTTCTTTGCATCTCGTTTAAACCTCTATAAATCATTATATTCTGCAGGCGTACTCTACTGCTTTCTTATTCTGGCAACCTCGCAGTGATGACAAGGCTCCAGGGAAGTCACAAACACAAGTTGGATTATTCCTTTAAAGGATTAAAATGAGCTGCTCTGCAGAATGTCTTAAGATAACTTTGACTAGATTATCGGAGTGAATGAGAAGAAGTGTTTTTCTATTTGGGATGAATCTTTACTTTTGTTTCACAGTAAAAGATCGTGGTGTCACTTAAGTACGGAGATTCTGTGATAAGTCAACGGTAAAGTTACTCTGAGGACCTTTTAACTGGTCCTGAACCAGTCTCAGTGTAGTCCTGATCCTCTATCAGACCTCCATCAGTAAAGAGACCATCAGAGAGAAGATGGTCTGTTTCTATAGAGTTATTCTTAATGCTCGTCATCAGAGCCACCGGGTCGGATTCTGGTGAAACCAGATGAACTCATGCAGGTTCACCAGAACCTCCTTCAGCTCAGACTCCAGCAGAGACCGGTCAACCGTGGACAGACCCAGATCCTCCAGCAGAGACCGGTCCACCATGAACAGACCCAGATCCTCCATCAGAGACCGGTCCACCATGGACAGACCCAGATCCTCCAGCAGAGACCGGTCCACCGTGGACAGACCCAGATCCTCCAACAGAGACCGGTCCACCGTGGACAGACCCAGATCCGGCTTCACCTGCAGCCTTGGACCTGCAGTCGGAGCTCCAGAGGGAGGAGGAGAGCTCAGCTCCTGGCAGAGACACGGGAGAACCAGAACCAGGACTGAGAGGGGCAGACTGTCAGACCCTGCTGCAGTAAGATGAGAGGTTTTCTAAAGAGACTCTGGTGCTCAGAGACACTACTTTAGTCCACAGGGACCAACAGAACCAAGACTAAATGAACGTTTCTTGTAGTTCCTTACATTAAATATGTAAGTGATGCAACAAATAAGTCAACGTTGACTTCACATGAGACACGAACATCGGTCTCCTGGGTGAAAGTCCAGTGTTGCTCGTTATACGACGTCAACTTTTCTGACTCACACGATTTAGTGATTTACATACTAATTGATTGTGTGTGTTATATACTAATATTTAGCAGAGTATATGAGAACAGCCTTTTTCACAAGGATGAGTATTTATGATAGATAATATAGACAATTAGTCAATAGCTCATACAGTATTAGTTCACCTGCGTGTGCGCTTTCCCTTTGACAGTTGGTCTTACGTGTATTCGCTCCTCCATGTGGATGAATCATCTTCTTCTCACTACAGTTCATGAATGTAACTCTCCTCTCGACTCATTCCTGATCCTCACAAGATTTAATAGTGTGAATTCTCTGACATCATTAAGTGTTTCTCAGATGAGCCAGCAATCATAGCAGGTCAATAGAGCTGCTTTAGACTCCAGCTGTTACAGCTGTGTCACTCTGCCGTCATCGATGCACTGCTTCCAGGAACTTCTACAGTTTCTCTCAGCAGGACACGAGCTCAGGAAATGTGCAACGATCCTGCAGAGCTACAGCGAGTTACATGTGACAGTAAAGGTGATGTTGTGCTGCTGATCTGGTTAATTATGACTGGAATAAATTGGGGAAACTGATGTCTACAGTTCTAAACACATTTGCTATCGTCTCTTTTTTCTATATCGAATTCCGGTTTGAATTGCTCAGCACACATCCTCTCATCCCATTTACGTAATGTCCTCCGATATCATCCTTTCAATAATCAAGTAATATTTCATTAAGCTTTTTCCATTATTGGAGGGTAGGTGCTTCCTTCATTTTCCAGTTTTGCAATATGAGCTTTTTTTTAAATTAACTAGTGCCAAAAAAAAGTTTGGAATCTTATTTTCTCAATATTTTTAAAGAGACAAATCATTGGTGAAAAGTTTACTTTACAATTGCAGCTTTTTGAAATCCATTTTTCACTGTTCTCCAAGGTGTCGGCCTCCGGTTCTGCAGAGTGAAGCCAAAGCTTCATGTGTTAAAGCTGCATT